CAGATGAACAACAACCCATGACATATTACACCATGTCATCATTTATTTTACAAAAAAAGAAAGCCAAAATGGAGAAGCCATGTGTGGATTTTTATGATGTCCTGATACATAAAACCACATAACTCACAGAGGGTGTACTTTCTTTTTCACACAACTGTATATAGAAACTGCACAAATTAAATAGAGCAAAAAATACAAAACAGTTAACTATCAGCAGGTGTTTACAATGATTCAGTACTGAATTTTAAGTAAAAGACTTACCGGTTCTGATTACTAAATGATGCCTGATCTATGGGCAATATACTGTCGGGCCAAGGAGCAGTCTGATTGGGAGGAGCTTGCTGTTGGGTATACTGAGGACCTCCCATATTCATCTCCAGTTCTGAAGCACCTGAAGAACAATGACCATGACAAATAAAATTCCACTGGAACTATAGGTGTTTCAGAAAGCCAACAATCTGCTACTTATTGTATATTTTTCCCTGAACACTATATAGGAATATTTTTGCATATGCTTGGATTGGGATTAGTCAGAACCAAATTCAATTCAAATAAGGCTGCTTCAAAGGAAAATAGAAATATATTCTTATATATTTACCATGTTATGCAAAAACATTCTAGCATGTACTTTGTCTACTGTATAATTGAAGTCCCACTGCTGCATTTGTATCTAATTAAAATGCATTTGTCATTCCTTTTAATATCATAATATAGTTTCTACTGAAACTGTGCCTACTACGACCGGACTCCAACTTACCCATATTCATGACTTGAGACTGAAGCATCTGTCTTGGACCAGCTTGACTGTTAGGTCTCAAGGGAAGGCTGGACGTTGGGTTACGTATCATGCTTCCTTGGATTGGCCTGTTCATGGCACTTGTTGTTGCAGCACAGGTCACCCTCACAGCAGCACCTTGGCCTCCCCAGTCTCCTGATGGCATAGTAGGCCGAGGAGTATTACCAGCAATCATGCCTATTAAAACACACATAAGGAACTACAGCTTGAGCACAGCACTAAATTGCTTTTGATGCCACTTTCACAATCAACTCATAAGTCAAGCCATAAGCATCAAGCATGCTTTTGGCATTTCAGCAGCAACATCTCTGCCCCCTGCCAGTTTTGAGCTACAGATAGGTACCTGAGCTAAACATACATACTTTCTTCACAAATATGTGCTCTAAGAAATAATCTGGTAAAATATGCACTCCCGTAATTAAAAAACTAGCAATAGTTGTATTATCAGACTAAGTTTATCAGCCCTCAAATAATTCAGGCAGAATTTACTTCTAGGCAAACATTTGTAGGCTTATACTTTAAGACTGCAATATTATAACCATTTACATCAAAATACACCCCTCTGAATTCAGTGAAATTCCCCTTAAAATAAAAATGCACAGCATGGGGTCATAGTCTCCCAAAACTGATCACTTCAGCTGTTCCAAATTCAATGTATTTGATGCTGGTTTTAGGGTACTGCTAGGGATGAATGATCACTGTTGTCAAAGATATCTGTTTGTTCTACTTCTTTCTAGATTAGAAGCAATGCGTTATTACAGAAAAAAAGTTTTTTTTTTACCTGGATTATTATTCCCTAGGTTTCCTTGATTTCCCATAATTCCTTGATTACCCATCATTCCGGGCTGAGGTATCACTGAATATGGACTATTGTTTCTTATGGGTGGAAAAGTTCCAGCACCTGGTGGGTTTTGCAAAGTAATGTCAAGCTGCAAGTTCTGGTTTGGTAACATCCTTCCCAACTGTGCTTGTCTTGCATTGGTAAAAGCTAAACAACACAGGAAAGAAAAGATGAAGGGGGAAAAACTAGGAACCTTGAAAGTTACATTATAAATACTTACTGTAAAGTTCTTTTCAAATTAATTTAAAAACTGTGCTTCAAAAATGTAGACATTTACAGACACTTAACAAAAGTTCTTTTCAGCCTTCCAGGTGAATCTATGGAGAATCTCCAACTAAGTTAGGAGCTCCACCATCTACTCTTCCTAACATCCATCATTTAGCTGGAAGCCTGACAAGGAGGTGCCTGCATTCATTTCTGACTTGATAATCTTTATAAAATTGTTTTCATACACCAAGCTCTATTTTGATATACATGTAATATTACTCTTGTCACTTAATAGAATACTGCATTTAAAAGGAATGAAGCTTAACAGAAAATATAGCAGTTTCCCTAAGACCTAACTTGTATGGATTAAAAACATATCTCACAGCATTAACTCTGTATTATGTGCAAGAGAAAAGTCCAAAATGTGTTTGATGCCCCCTTCTCTGCCTGCTTAAGTAATAATCACAGATGTTGAGGGTTTCACTTTAGAGCTTGGATACGAATTCTTCTTCTTCTTCTTTTTTTACTGATACCATAATGTTTTATAGATTAGTACACTTAGAGAGAAACTTCTATTTTTCAACTTTCAGTGAGAACTGAGCTTATAGCATGTAGCTCTTTAGTGATTTCACTGTATAGTACAAATCATCAGCATGTGACAATCTCACATATTACTGATGGAAATAAAGTAAATTTCAATAAAATTTAAAGTGATCTATTTATTTCTAAACTAAACAATAGTCTGTTACTGTAGTTGGAGGATTTCACCATGCTGTGATTCTATAAATGAGAACAGCAGATGGTGCTGTTTGCTTACTGGAGACTTAAAGCAAAGCAACAGTCTGAAACTGGCATAGGGACTTTTGAAAAGATTTATTTCTCTTACAATAATACTATTATCTGTTTCTAGAACCTAATAAATAGTTCAGACTCACTGCTTTGAGAGATCCTCACTGTGGGTTTCTGGGATCCAACAGGTGTGCCAGGACTGTTGTCACCTGTAATCTGCATGAGGTCATTGATGATGGCTTGTTTGTCAACTGATCCTGCTGAAGCACCTGGTCGGGTGTCTGGGAAAAGCTGTGACAATTGGCTATTCTGTAGATCATCTAGAATTTCTTCCAGGTTATCAAGCTCGCTGCCAGGCTTTCATGAAATTGGAAAAGAAAACATGTGTTTTTCATAGGTCAAGTCCTCTTAACTGTGACTAGACCAAAATACCAGGAAACAGAATCAACACCTTCAGCATTCAAAACACCTGCCATCAGTTGGGATGTCTGCAATCTGTTCCTACAAAGAAAAGTATCTACTCTTGCCTCACTTAGATTAGACGGGGATACACCAGGACACACATAACCGAAGTCTTCAAGTTTCCTTACCATTGTGCCTTCTGGAAGCACAAAATAGATGAACTATAGCTCTCTGTTAAAAACAAACTAGTAATATTCTCTGTCTGCAGTTTAGCCAGGAATTGGCACAGAGATATCTCCAAGGAGGGCAGAGGATGCAGATTTCCGTGGATGTAACAAAGAATCTTTGTTCAGCAGAAACCAACACTCTGTCATTACTGTAATTCTGCTTGGTTATAACAGGACTAAAAATGTTCTATAGGATAGTTACTTCCACATGGTTAAAAACCTTTTACATTTTATCTGGACTTTTCATCACTGACAGAAAAATATGAACAATTTAAAGAAATAAAGACAAAAGAAAATATAACAAGAAAGTACTTTTGCAGCTGGAAACTTAGAAGTTGAAGGAATGTCCTATTGCCCAACATATGATAATCTTCGAATGAAAAAAAACTTTCCAGGCTGAGAGAAGTCTAGAGAAATTCCTCCAAAGTTGTCACACATTTGCGAAGAACAAAGTGGGAAAGTCATAGAGTGTTAGTAAATATAAGTTAAATAGGCAGTAATCCCCCCTAATCCCAACAAAATAGTTATAGAGTAGTAAATCTGAGTATTTCATAACTTTGCACGCTACTTCAGGATAGCTTTGGGACTTATTCTCAAATGGAACAAGGAAAATGTGGCATAGTGATCATTGTGCTTCTTCTGCGAACACATCATCACTTGGAGCGTGTTTGCTTGCATCTCTTGCACATATATTACTACCATGCCCTCAATCTATGAGCTGAAGTAATAATTTTGGAACTTGGTGTATTTTTAGTACAAAATTTTTAATTAATAACCCAAATAACACTAAGCAAGTCATTTGTAAGACTCTTAAGAATCCAGCAAAACATGGCATTATTGAACATGACAGGTCAAATACAAAAAGGAAAACTAATATAATATTAAATTAATAATATTGTGATTATTGTGTTTAGAGGATTGTGTTTTAACAGCCCCACCCCCCGAAGATGAGTTCTACTCCTCTTAAAACAATAGCTTTAGAAATGGTATAAGCAAACCAGACAACAAGAACTGTGCCTTGCAGCATCTGAAAAATTGCCAAACCTAATGCTGTTAGAAACTACCTTCCTTTTATTTCCTTAGAATGGCTAACAAAATATATTCATGCAGAATAGAATCTTGAAATAGGACTGGGAGACCATGAAGCTCCCTTGGTAACTGGGCTAATTGGGACTTCTCAGGCTAATCTGACAACAATGGACTGTGTAAGAAATACCATATGCTGGAAATAATAAACGCTTGTTTTTTAAAATAAAAATAATTAAATGTTACTACTGTACAATATACTTTCAAGACATTTTCTCTGAACTTTTACTTTTCATTACCTATTATGTTTGTACAATATTAAATAACATTAATTAAAAATTTAAAAGATGATTATGTTAAGAATGAGTAGTTTCTACAAACACATACATAAAAGCAATAAGTGTGGTAAAGGAATTGCTGGCTTCTCATGCTATACCCAGGCCTTGACAGATCACGAGGCCAATAATCCAAAGTTTTTGATGAAAAATGCTAGTTTGAAGGCTCTCGGGCAGCAAGGCTGGAAAAAAACTGCCAGAGATTTTTAGGAGCTGCTTTACTTAGAGAAGATAATGTCTGGACTAGTGGCCAGTGTCAACATAATCAGAATAAATTCTGTTTTCACATATTTTTGTCCTGGTGTTCTTTATCTAGTGGAACTGCAGAACAAACTGATAAATGTAAAGATATCCATCAAACAAAACAAGCTATTTCAGGAAGATTAAATTTGTTTTTTCTAAGTAATCTAAACAGTTTTCTGCAATATCTTCAACACTTAAGAAGCAGAAGCTTCCACTGCTGAAGCATACTGATCTGTTGTCAGTGAGTATTCCATTATGACTCAGACTTTTTCAACAGTTTTAGCCAATTTTGCTGACTGTTTACACATACATGAAGCTAGGACTTCCCTAAGTATCATTTTCTCTTGTATATATGTACTACACTGATCATATCTGGCCCAGCTACAAAGTCTGGAGAAGTTCTCTGGATTTTTTTATTGATTGCTAGGAATATTTCCATCTTAATTTTGGGTGGAGGTGAGAAATGCAGTATGGGACTGCTGCCAAACACTGAACCATCTCATAATATTTAGACAAACCCAACCAGTTTTTCTATATACTTTCGGTATGCATGGTGACAGCTAGTAAGTGGAATGAAGGTAGGGAAATGTGTGATATGCTGGTTTTACTAGATGAGTGTTATGTGGAAAATTTGATACAGGACAGCATTTTCAAAGTATTGTAGCTAAATGTTACCAGCAAACCTGAATAACAAGATAAGCATTCTCTATGGAAGAGACTTTCCTGTTTTTGGAGAGCTGGCCACCCCTACTTTCTCCCTTAAATTTATTTTTCTATAGAGCATTGTCAGATATGTAATTTTGAAAAAAAAAATGGAGAAATAAGGGGATGGGCTTTTGGGGTTCATTAAAGTCCCCAAGCAGGGTCCCAGGCTTGAACATGGCAAGTTCCAGACTTGAACCTTGGTTAAAATTGCTCTGAGTACTGAACTTCATAGTCCTTGAATTGATGCATTTGATCTACCTGGTTCATCACAGTTTTTCATGTAGCTAATGCACTGTTTTTCCAAATTCACCATTTCAATTTACAATCACTTCTATACATCAAAGATTATGTAGGTAAAACCTGTCACTTGTACTTGCCATGTAATGCACAGGAAAATACGTTACATTAGAAACTTTGCCTAGCATTTCTACCCTTCTCCAACTTATCTGTCAAAAATTAATAACCCACAGAGCAAACAATTATAAAAAACCAATTTTTGTCCATTCTGCATAGAATAAATTGTACACAATGCCAGCTTCTTTTTCACCTGGCTTATGTCTTCTACAACTCTGTGTGAGTATGTAAGAGGGTGGAAGGAAAAGTCAGGTTTAATAGTTTCTCTCGGATATTTTCCCATAATTTTTTGTACTAGTAGAATAATATCACAGAGTTTTTTCACCAAATAATGTTTAAAACAATGTACAATGATGCAGAGAATGAAATCTGTGCCAACAAGTGGAAAGAAAATGACAAAGCTTGGGGGCAACATGAATTATACCACTGCTGTGGAAATATAGGATACATTTTGCAGGGTTTTAAAAAGCAAAATAAAAGCAAGTTTTGTAAATCAACAGAGCAAATTACTTTTGAGCTAAAGAGAAGAAAATGTCCTCAGAAATTATGAACATTATTATTTCTTATAGCAAAACTTATTGCAAACATGAAGAACTCAACACTTTGATATATATTTGGATTGTTTCCTGTGAGAATGAGACTTCTATATAAACCTTGATTTGTACACTTTCTAATTAGTCTCTGCATAGAAGCATCCACAAATTTAGGTACGTTATGTTCAAGCCACTTGCATTTAGTTTTGCTTTTTTTCAAACAGAACTTCGCTTCTTGCTCAATTCACATTCTACAGTTCTCAATGTTGCCCTTCAAAACCACACAATAAATCAGGTGCCAGACTGAAAGTCACATATTCCAGGTAGCCTCTATAAATGCGTGTCATTCTCATCCCACATTTTCATTCCCATCTCCAAGCTGAACTGATACTATACCAAGCACGACATTTTAAACTAACTGGCACTTTCCAGATCAGTTTTTTCAGCCAGCAGAATCTTGGCAACACAGGCAATGTTAGTGATTTTAATCACAAAGAACACTGTGTTAGAAGAGATGCAGAACAAGAATTGTTTCTGCACCCATCTCTGACACAAATAACATAAACAAATGAATAAGTAAAATAAACCCCCCACAAGTTCTTACCTGTTCGTTCGGCTCAAAGCGCATTTCTTCTTTTTCAGTCTTCATAGCTACTGGCTTTGTGCTACTGGAAGGGTCTGTCTTACTGTCCGACCGTTCCAGTTTGGGGGTAATGTCTGGTAAACCAATTTCTTTAGTATCATCTTTATCTAGTAAGTAACGAAGTAGTGCATTTTCTTTCTTCTTGGGACTCACTGGTTCCTGTTTAACAGTTACCTCTGAACCTGGAGCTGTGCTACTGGTCTCCTGGTTCAGTTCTTTGCCTGTGGCCTCTGCTGTGAGCTTGGCCAAGTCTACAGGAGAACTGCTGTCCTGCAAGAGCCTGTGCAAAATTTTATGCTTCTCCTTGAGCGAGGTTCCATGTGCTGAACCAGAACCAGATAAGCTTCCCAGGGAGTCCTTGTTAGCATCTCCCATAGTATTAGCCAAAGATGAAGGCTCCATCTGATCCGATTTGGTGGTCAGCAGCTGTAAGAGCTTTGTCTGGCTTTTGCCATCATGCAGTCTATTCTGTCCATCAGGTCTTTCACTGCCAACTTGGGGCATGTTATCATTATTTTCTTTCTGCTCTCCTGAATGGCAGACACTTTCTGCTTGTCCAGTTGTATCTTCTGATTGCTCCCCATGCAATCCAAAGCTATCTTTAGAATCCAGACTTCCCATTTTGGTTAGCTGGGGAGGATTCATGCTTACAGGGGAATTTTGTAAATTACCCATTTTTACATCAGGTGAAGCCAGTGATGACCCCAGAGAGACTCCATGCCCCTCACTGAGAGCCTGAAGTGCATTGAGGGAACTGTTGGTATAACTATGGCTATTTCCTGTGCTGCTGCAAACTCCAACAGGTGAATGCAAGCTTCCTGCAGGAGAAAACTGGTTGGGTGGGATCCGAGGACTTCCTGCCACTCCAGGACTCACACGATGCCTTGGGGAAAGCATGGAGTTTGGCTGACCAGGTGTCATGCCAGGGCTGTTTTGAGAAGGACTATTCATTTTTAGTGCATAGTTACTACCCTGAGGAGTGGATACTTGTATACTTGACACATGGTTCATCCCACCCGAACTACTAAACCTGCTTGTTGGCATACCCATTTGTTCCTTTGGGCCATTTATGGCAAAATTCATATTGCTATTGATGGTCATATCCTGACCTGGATTCCCACTGCACATGGCTTGATGGGCAGGACTGTTAGAGCTAATTGTATTCAATGGCTTTCCCATTACTTGTCCAGTTAAATCCTGGTTCATCCCACAGACATTCTGTTCCCTGAAATGTGAAAAAAAGGACAAAACAGCTAAAATATTGCATGTTAAATTAAAATAGGCTTAATAAAAAGATACAATAGAATATCATTTTCATAATCCCATATTCAAAAATAAGTGTACCATTTGTTTAATCATGATATATCCTTAAGACTTATATGTGTTTATTTCCTAAGAACAAACAATGCAGAAACAATTCCTTTTGACATATACCTTAACAATTTTCAGTAAAAAAAAAATAGATGTGTTGATTTGTGAGAAAACAAAATCTACTCTTGATTCTAATAAATGTACTGCCTATCAAAAGAGAACAAAAAGTATGTAAGTCTTTGATTTGTCTAGAGGATAGTAGGTTAGGGGATACAAAATTATGTGATGGGGCCAAAGCAGCAAAATCCAATAATTAGGCCAGATGTTGCGGCCATGAGATCTGCAAGATGGCAAATGCAGTAAGAAAGAATTAGCGTTACCGGCATCAGATTATACAATTCTCATTTTACAGAGGCAGATGAAGATCAGTGAATTGGAGGCTACTGATGTCCCCAGTGCAGTCAGACTTTAGGGACTTGATGTCGCACAAAACAGAACTAGACATTTAACAGCTATTTTAAACAAACTTTATCTCTTTGTCCTCTAATATGGGAGCTGATATAGAGGAGTTTAGTTGGTGCAGAGAACTGAAGAAACAGGTAAGAAGTGCCACTCTGGAACTATGCTGTTCAGGCAGTGGTTCATATTCTTTTTTCTAAGTAAATCTGGATCACTATGTGGTTAGCAATATTAAAAAAAACTTTAATTCAGTCTTGGAAATCTCAGATTAGCACATTCAGAACAAAAGAGAAATTTTGAGGAACCACAGATTCCTTGTGTCCAGAATGCTAAGTTTTGCACATCCCTGATAAGCAATTTAGTTTTACTTTGTAACTTCATATATAGTACTGTGCAAAAGTTTTAGGCAGGTGTGAAAAAATGCTGTAAAGTAAGAATG